GAAGTAACGATCTGATTTAAAAGATTAATCTGTATTCATCAACCTTTCTTCCGTTTACGGTAAATCAATAAACGGCCTTTCGTGCATGTGTTTCAATTTCATTTGCTAATAAAAAAAATAACCCTGAATTATTAATTAAACTCGCGGAATCATCAACAAAGAAATCAACAATATATGTGCATATATAACTCAAAAGTATAACGATGTAATTTAGTGAAAAATATACTTCTAAATACTCTCTCTTTTTCTAGCGTAGTGCTATAAACATTAATCCTTTATCCCGTATCGAATGTAGAGACTCACCTTGTTCCTGGGCCCAATTAATAAGCGAAGGAACGCGCGCCTCGAAACTGGAGTAACAATCCTCGAAGTGCGCCGACGAATCCAGACCAACGGTCTCGTAATTGGCTTTAACTCCGCAGAGTAGTGCCGTCGCGCATGCCGACGATTCGCCAACTTGGGCATCCGTGTTGTATGTCTGGAAACAAGATAACGACGATTAATTACGTATTTTCGCGTAATCGAATTACGACTATTTAATACGGATTCGTGACTTGAGAAACACCTTTACTTTCGCAAAAAGAAAATATTTTTCAATTAATTATATTTTACATATAATGCAAATTGTCTGCACTTCCTCTTTCATCTACAGATTCTTTAGTCAATCTTTTCTCAAAAAATTCTGCTTACTTAAAGTCTATTTAAAATTAAATAAAAGTACGGTTTTGTTATCTGTTTACATTCATGAAACCCGAGTTTTGTAAGTACTTTGGAATTTCAATTGCTTTTAACAGAAGCTTTTAGGACATTTTAAAATTATATTTTAATTACATTTTAAAATTATATTTTGTTATATTCATTATGATTCATTGCGAATGCATTGAATCTAGAAAAATAACGAGAAGAAAGGGAGAAAAGTTTACTACAGTTCATACACTGAGAAAAAAAAGTTGTTAACTTGACTAAATGCGTTCAACTAATTATTATTTCTTTAATTGAAATATTTAAGTATTTAAATTAAATACGACATATTAAATCTAACATGACGTATTTGACTTAAGTACTTAAATATTTCAATTAAAAAAATGATAATCAGTTGAACGCATTTAGTCAAGTTAACAACTTTTTTTCTCAGTGTACGTTTTTATGATCGAGTAAAACAATAGTGCAAAAGAATATATAATACATAAACTTTTATCTAACACATACATATCTACACAATGTCGATGTATATTCGAAACAGAAAAAATGCAATTTTGCAAATAGTAAAATAACAAAAATTTTCTGTAAAATATGATATAAAATTAATCAAATTTTCTAAAAACGGATAATGCTTTTCATGCGATACAATCTATTTTACATTATACGTTTTCGGTAAGATTAATGAAACTTTCAAGAGTTATCCTGAATAAGTAAAGTAGAAATCAATTATTAAAAAAAAGTACATCTAGTAGATGAATGTACTCTTTTGTATAGAATCATTATGGAACCAGTGGTTTCGCAGCTGTAGTTTCTTCTTTACTTTATCTATGAGATATGAGGTAAGTAACGGAAACTTTAGAGTAGGTACTAAAACTGATATAATCCGGATAATTTATTTAGGTAAATTATTTTTATTATTATTGCGCTTGTGATTTATATATTAAACATTCTTCTTTTAGACACACAAATAATATAATATTTAAAAATTAGATTGCTAATATATAGGTTAAGTTTCAGGAATACAATTTTGTCATATAAGAATAAAATCATATTTTACTTAAATGTTTTTATTTGCAATATACAAAAACAAAACAATCTAATTGTTTATATCAAACGTCGGAGTTCAACAATAAGATATAAAAATTATGATAAAAAGTGAATCGGGGAGAACTGGTAAAAAATATTTATTTTACAAACTCGTCTATAACTACATGATATCGCAATCGCTTATGTTACCCCCGATAGTCTTTGATCGTTTCGATCTCGGTAAGCCACCGATCGATGAATCGTCTATAACAGCCACAACGGCGACCGCGTTACGTGGTGTAGTAGCCTCGTGTGTCTGCTCGAGAATAGGGAAACCACGACTGCTACAGATAGGTGCTGGCGAAAGACCGCGATAACGCTTATCTGCTTCCTGGATTTATTGCTAGCGCAATGAAAACGCACCCGCCAGCCGCTCTTACCTGTTACCCGAAGAAAATCGCCAGTCATGACATATTGAGGCGATGTCCACTTACGTGAGAATTTCTCTTTACTTCGCATCTTATCATTCCTGCCTCGATGTTCCTGACGTCGCGAAACTTGATGTATGGTATTGCCTTATTTACGTGACCGCGGTTAGATTAACTGTAGGTAAGCAACGGAATTGCGGCGCTCTGAGTGATATAGGGCATGTAATATCGTGGCTAAAATCCGCTTGAATTTAAAAGGACCTATGCCGGGTTTTCTCATTAATAGCCAAGAAATTGAATGAAAAATTCAGCGTCGCGTGAAAGACTTGACAATTGGATTTCTACACTGAGAAAAAAAAAGTTGTTAACTTGACTAAATGCGTTCAACTAATTATTATTTCTTTAATTGAAATATTTAAGTATTTAAATTAAATACGACATATTAAATCTAACATGACGTATTTGACTTAAGTACTTAAATATTTCAATTTAAAAAATGATAATCAGTTGAACGCATTTAGTCAAGTTAACAACTTTTTTTTTCTCAGTGTAGAAATCCAATTGTCAAGTCTTTCACGCGACGCTGAATTTTTCATTCAATTTCTTGGCTATTAATGAGAAAACCCGGCATAGGTCCTTTTGAATTCAAGCGGATTTTAGCCACGATATTACATGCCCTATATCACTCAGAGCGCCGCAATTCCGTTGCTTACCTACAGTTAATCTAACCGCGGTCACGTAAATAAGGCAATACCATACATCAAGTTTCGCGACGTCAGGAACATCGAGGCAGGAATGATAAGATGCGAAGTAAAGAGAAATTCTCACGTAAGTGGACATCGCCTCAATATGTCATGACTGGCGATTTTCTTCGGGTAACAGGATGACACGACGTGGGGTTCAAAGAACGACACCGCTAGAAACCGCACGTCGCTCTAGGGTAAGCACTGCAACGAGAGCAAATGGACATTTTCCGTCTTGCAGCTCACTCGCCTCGAACCCTTTTTAAACCCTGCGGAAATGACAGCTGTATTCTATTACTGCTGATTATACGCGAATGAAAATCGCGAATCTCATTTTGCAAAGAATTAACGAAAACGTCAACTTGACGTGAGTGATATTTTAGTATAAATTTTTATCGATAAAAGAAATAATACACGCGCACGACAGAAGATAACAAACATTTATCTTAATTATTCTCGCGAGATTATAATATATCGCTATTTATATGGATTTTTTTAATTAATCAAACCAAATTTTATTAAGTTCTTCTTCTCTTCATTTCTTACGGATCGATTACGCGTCGTAATAATCGACCCAGATTTGCGCTCGTAAATGACAGGGAACACATACTCGTGCGCATAAATCCCTGCGGTACTATTCCAAAACGGCGCTGCTGCGTAAAATATTGCTGATATCCGATAATTTTCTTCTTGTTCGACAAGCATGTATTTGTATTGATTCGTTCAAGTGCGCGTTCCTTAGAAACCAGACGACGATTCCCGACAACATCGGCTGGGAAATGCCGATTCTCGCTCGTGCAAGAACACCCATAAAGCACACTCGTCATTATCATATTGAAAGCCATGCATCGTCAATTCAAATACCGTTGTGAATTAACTGCAGAATCGTACGACACGGTCGATCGCCAAGTGCCGGTAAAATAGAACGCCCGAAGCATAGGACTATCGTATATGCCAGGCAAACACGTCTCATTCATCCGATATTCTCACAACAGTGTAAAACTGCGAGAGGAAGGGACAAAAGCGCGGTTATTGATATTTGACGACAGAATTGAAAAGCGGAAGACACGTACGTGATATCTCAAAAAAGGGAGAAAAAAATCGCTGGCGAGAGATATTTCGCGTTTCTGAAATTTGACAGTTTGTTTTTTCCATATCGCGCATATTCGAGATTCAATCGATGATTGCCATCTCCACGGTAAAATGTATAATAATGAATATAAAATCGTAACATTTAGAGCTGCAATGGTATTAATGACTGTACAAATTATACGCTCATATAGTAGCATATGGAAGAGAGCAGAAAAAGCTTTTTTTTTTTTTTAAATGAAAGCTAAAACCTTACAAATTTTAATATAATCGATATTCGTTTCCGGATTATTATTATTTAAAAATGATATTTATATAATCATGATATTTATATGATATTTAATAATCTCTTCACTTTTTTATATAAAATAAAAATCAAAGTGTCTAATTCAGCTTTCGTGAAACATTAAAACGCTAATCTGAATTATCATCTTTATGTTATCATATCGAGATATCCCTAAATTACCTTACGTACCGAATATGACAAACGTTAATACGTCACACGTAATTGGTATTAAAAAATCCATCGGGGAGCAACGTAACAAAATTTTCATCTTGTACCACGCAATTTGCCATTCGCTATACACCTATGACCGAAGCGTTCACCGTATCCGAGAGGCGCGGCGTCGCAAAAAGCGCCCGATATCACGTGAATATCCGAAATCCGTGCAGCGGTATGCAGTGGTATGAGGGCAGGGTTAAACGTTCTCGATAGGCACGGAGATGCTATAGATTATCATGCTAGTATTATCGCCGGCGACGCTTTTATCGGGCGTTTCCGCGACGGGCACGTCGATAAGATAAATTTGAAGTACGACGCGCATCCTCTCTCTCTCGACCCGCAGGTGAGAACGAGCAGTGGCAAAACGCAGATCGTGGGATCGTTAAGAGATATCCGGAGGTAACATGGAAGAGAGGGACAACGCAAAGTGCATCACGGAGCGGAAGCAGCAAAATGTTTCGTTGCCGGATATGTCGCAATGGAGCGTGCCGGACGGATGGCCGTTCAGGAAAGCAAAGTAAGCATATCACTCGGTCACGTCGTGACCGATAGAAAGCTTTGAGATATCGAGGTGTTGAAAGAGTAAGCATGCGAATGGCGCTAAAGGCCTTTTCAGAGCCATTTACGCTTGCTTTTTTGTTTCCTCTTTTGTCGCTAGAGCAAACCTAAATTTATAATTTTTTTTTTTAAATTGTAAGAATTTTCCTCGCGTTGCATTCGCATTTTGTATATATCTGCTTTATTCTACTCTTAGTCAATTTTTTTCATGTCTAATAAAGTATTCCTAAAGATATAACTGTGCTTCTTTATTTACTTTTCTACTCTGGAGATAGAAAAATGTAATTGGCTAACTGTTTGAACGATACGGATGCTTTGATGTTTAAAAACTCGTTGCAACCTTTCTCTATTATTCATGTATTTTCGTCTATGTGCATTTAATTATTAAATATAAATACAAGTCTTGTTTTACTTTAATTCATCCTTTATTCATCGTAAAATAAATATTATTATGCATTTATATGAATATATATATGTCATATGTACTATTCATATGTATAACAGACATACATTGTATAACATATGGTTCGTAATATTTATTTTTTTAGGAATCTCATTTTCATCATAATCCATTGTCACTTTTCGCATCTTACATCAATCTCAAACAAAGATCGCCTTTTGATAATGACCGACGTTCCAATCGAATTTATCGCACACGCGATAAAAGACGCATTATAAAGCGTCTTTATCTACTCTTTAGTATATTATTTTCTCTTTTTCTTTTTATCGCGATCTCCTCGTACACACGTACCTAAAAGATATTGACGTATTATTTACGCGTTCTTCCTTTTATCAAGATCTCCTCGTACACACATAAAAGCGATTCGGTGGTTCCCTAACGCGATTATTCTTGCAGCCGCGCATAACGCACGGTCGATGTAATTGTCGGATACCGAGGAGAGCGGAGGTTGCGCGGGAGAGAAGGAGTGAATTTATATTCATAATACTAGTTAGAGTGGGAAGGAGGTCGCTGTGTGTGTTAGGCGCAAAATGTTTTAGAGGCTAAAATAAACGCCGCCGAGTCCGTAGTATAATGCCGGTAACTCACTTCTCCCACGACGAACATTTGTCTCGTAATGGCCAACCGACTCACCACGTTTATGACTAGTTCGTAAGCGCCCAACCGTGGTTTTGTCACATCCGTTCTGTATTCTCTTCTCTCCCGCCTACTCCTGTTCCCGGCATATTTCGAGTGCTCGTGGCGATTGTGTCTGGGCGTGCGTGTGTCATCTCCTCATATTCGTCATTGTATCCATCTATGAGAACCACTCGTTTGACTCTTATATTCTCTTTACTTCTATTGTATTTTCTTCCCTTCAGCCCTCCTGTCTTGAAGTTTTAATTAATTCGGTGTGTCGTACTTTTTTTGATGATGCAATTCTTAGCAAGATTAATTCTACGTACCAATATTAGCGCATAACAATAGATCCATGAATTTCTGTGTAAGATTCTTTTCAAGTTTTTTATTAGAAGATAATTATACTATTTCGTTTAATATATTTATAATCATTAATATATAATTATTTTTATATATTTTTTTATATAAACACCAAAAAAAATACTAAAGCGCACAGATGCTAAGCTCTGTTATATTCTTATTATATATCTATATCTATTATTATATTATATTCTACATCTATTATATTTTTTCGGATTGAAAGCATAGTGAGATGCAATGCTGTGCAAGATAAATTTCTGCATCATCAATCTAGCGGCAATAAAGTAAAAGCGTTTCGACAAAACCCATGATAATACATATAGCAAGCTACATTTATATATAGGGTAGAGCACACACTGAAGCGACGTGATATCAGTGACGCACATTTGGGACGGGGATTCTCTACGTGTGCACATAGACATGTATTCATTGTTACACGTGTGTCACTTGTCGCGGACAAAACGTCGCGAGTACTGCTTTGTCATTTCGGTATGTGTTCTGACTAATGGTACACATATACAGCATACAGAGTGTTTGGTAATTCTCGGGATATTCGAGAAGTGAATAGTTTCCTGTCGTACAATAGATCGATTCGCCAGAATAAAGAATAACTTTTCTCTCAAATACGGAAAACTGGATCAACAGTTCATGAATAAAAGGCATCGTAATGTCTTCCCGGAAAGAATATTACAGTACTTGTAATTTATTTAATCTATGATTAATTGTGTTTTGAGCGCTCCGGCGTAACATTATTTTCTTCTTATACAAAGTGATTGCGCAGAATAAATAATCTCGTAAGTATCTTTTCTATACTTTTATTTTCTCAATCTCATCAAGAATATAAATTTGATTACCAATACTATTCATATGCTTGTAATTAAATTCCAGCCATTCAGAACTTTTAAGAGCACGCGCTTAAAATTCCGTGCAAGTTTAAAAGTCCAGAGTTTACGGTCCGTTCAGTTAAAGGCAGTTCTGTCTTCGCATCCTCATCTCGCTTCATCCTTTACAATATCGCTGGTTTATTTTCCGGTGAGATCGTATAATCGCGGTAACTCGATGAAAGTTGGACTCAAGCGCGTACGTGTGCGAGAACCGCGAAAAGCCACTTCTCGCGCGATAAAGCACCGTGGAATCGCGGATTGCGGAGGTTCATCTCTCTCGATCACGATCTAAGTTGAAATTAAATTGACCGCGGTATGATCTCCGCTAAACATCCGTCTGCGTAAGCGCACGTGAGCAGCAAGTACTAAACGGACCGAGGGTTGCGCTTTTCCGAGGAAAGATCCCTCTTTGCCGCTCCGTTCGTCTTAAGAAGAGAAACGTCTTGATATTTTTCCCGAATAGCGACTGCAAAGAGGCAAAACGTACCGGAAACGCTCGTTTTTCTCTCTCTCTTTTTCTCTCTTTCTTTTTCACTCGTCGTGTCGTTCTCTTCTTTTATTTCTTTTTTCGCATCGCACCGGACCATCCATTTACCAGCGACTGTCTTCAAGTCGGGATTCAACAACTAGCTACCGCCTAATTACGCCAACGGAGACGTTGCTACTAAATGCTAGTGGCATTTATTTCGTTCCCGATGTCGCGTACTCGTATTCATGTTTATGCGCGGCGTGTCGCGAGGTTGTTGCGCATAATTATGCAATACTGACTGCTTTCGTCACAAAGATAAATATATACCGGATCAAAAAAAAAACGCAAGTTTCCGTATTTTTTCACAAACAGACGCGCACAGTTCAAGTTCTATAATTAATCCATCGAGCACGAGAGAGAGATTCGTCTTTTTAGCCGGAAATATTTCCCGCTTTTTAAGTAAAATATTCCAGCAAATTATCACGGATTCCTTCATTAATATTGTGTTGATTTTTCCTTAACGGAGTTCCCGAGATATCAAGCGCTTTAATTTGCAGCGGAATTTCAATAAGAGAAAAAAATATTAATGTTAATATAATAAAATTCTTTTCTTGCACAGATATAAAAACGTTTTCCATCGCGGAGAGAAAATAAAAGTACCTGATTAAACTCCAACCCCAGAACATATAAATAAGTATACCGAGTTCCGTCCATTTAATTCCGCGGCTCCGTCGTGTTATTAATGGCGAAGTTACGGGATTATTTGTTTCTCGTGCGAAACGCAATGCAGTAAATTTCGTTATCTACGCTATCTCGTCGCGAAATCATATCAAAACCTCTCAAAGCTTTAAACATTTCAACATCTTTCAAAGTAATATAGTAAAATGTTATTTCCAAATGTTAATTAAAGGGACACGATCGACCAAAAAGTTAAACACCACTTTAGTACTTCAAAATAAAACAAATCTTTAAAATAATATTATATTTTACAAACTTTCTATGATAAGATAACACAACGGAGTGTAACGTTAGAGTCATTACAAACTTAATTACAACTTGCAAAATTACAGTTTACACTTTGCAATTAAGCCGCAAAGCGTGATATCGAATGCGTCGGTTTCGAATAATAACATAATATTCTTTTCTAATGTATTCTTCGCGGAAACTCTATTATTCCTAATTATTTCAACGATTTAACCCGAATGTTCGCTTAATGTATCCTAATGATAGTTCAAGCAGGCACTCAATCGATACCCAAAAGGCCGTGAAAATCGATCTCGATCCATTCGCCGAGGAATACGACATGAACCATAAGAGAAGAGGAGTAGCGCTCATACTAAACCATGTTCACTTCGAGAGCATGAGCACGAGGAAGGGATCCGTAAAGGACTCCCTACATCTGAAGGTATCATTAAGCAAGCTCGGATTCGACGTCCGGATTTACACCGATCCAACGGTCAAAGTTATAGCCGCGACCTTACAGTCGAGTAAGTATCATATATACTACACTTCCTGATAACCCGGTCTGTGCAGTTATAACCGTACCACTTCGTTACGTACGATCTGTCTCAGATGACAGATCAAACGATGAATGTGTGTAAATTGACTGCTACTACAATATATGTATGTCTAACTGAAATAATGAACGCAAAGTGTCTCCGCTATTTGAAAAAAAAAAAAAAAAAAAAAAAAAAAAAAAAGATAGAAACGAAGAGACGGAGATATCATTATTTCCATCAATTTGCAATATTGCAGACCGTAACGCAACCGTTTGTTAGCTCTTTGTATACCATTGTTTCTTATCTTTCCACGATGAACACCCTCTTTCATCCCGCCTCTCATTGCATAAAATATAAGAAAGCGACAGAGTTTTCTCAAGACGGAATGTCCCAGAATTCCCCATCTCACCTTTAATCGCGTAAAGAATTTATATTCAATTATTCGTTGAAAAGGAAAAAAGTTTATGAAAGAATATTTTATGCAACACTTCTCGCGTGGCACGCGTTTAATATTTTCGTAATTAAATTTTGAAATAAAATTCCATTATAAGCAAGCCTCCTGAATATATAATACAAGATGCAATATGACGGTTCGCGTGGTCCACTTAATAAATACAAAATATTTCAGTCTTAGTTGCTTAATTTGACAAATAGTTGAAAATATGTCCGGAAAAAATAAATAAAAACATATAAGCGAGAGAAATGTCAGTTACAACGCCCATGACATGATTGCATCGGACACGAAACCTATACATTTTTACGCTCATGTAAATATATCTAATAGCAGCGCATCTACAAGAGCTTCTCAAACAAATTGATAATGACCGATGAATTCTTTGTGAAGATCCTCGCGTAGGCAGGCAGGCATGCAGATATTGGGGAATAACGCGAAGGATAATGATGCGCAGGGTTTCCGGCGAGAAGTTATACAAACATTTTACGACGGAACGAGCTCATTAAATGTCTATTCGCGTCGCAATGAACCGTGTTCTTCAACGAATAACTAACAAAGCAATCTCGTGAATACAGTTGCGGCAGGTGCCGTAGAAAGTGAGGTGGAAAGCCCGATGATTATGGAACTTGACGCTAGATAAGAAAAGTTCTCACGCCTTCTTCGCTTCAGCGCGACACTATGCGCTCCATCAAGTCTAAGATGCCATACTTATTTACCACTCGCTTTTTACTCGGCTGTACTCATGTTTCATGCATTACATACGCATTCAAAGCGACAAATGACCCAACAAAATAGAAGATATTAATATAGATACAATTTCGCACGAAAGTAGTTTAAGAAGATGTGGGAGATCTTCGACAACTTTTATAATGTAGGTGTTTTTATTATAACGATATAAAATCGACAATCTTGTGGAGAATACAAAGAACGTTTCTTCGATAATATTATGACAATTTTCGTAAATGCGGAAAAACTGGATTTTATGTGCAAAAAATTTTGCTTAGCTCTATTTTTTTTATTTATATCATAATAAGTGACTTTTAGAATTATATTTTTAGAAAATCTATATATTATATTATTTCTATATTATATTTATTTATCTTACATTACACAAATGTAATGAGACAAATCTCTTCAACAAGTTGAATACAATTTCGAAAATAAGAAAAGGGAACGCGCCAAAAGTTGGCTGCATAAAAATTGCGAATCGTTGTTCCCTATTTCCCTCTAGAGAAAACGGATTCAAACGGACTTCTCATCACTTTCTGTTGATACGAGGAAAACAACGGCAGAGCACACCGAAGTCAGGAAAATCCCGTCAGATTCTTTCTCTCGCTGCTAGACTTTACACGTATTCGATTACCGAATCGAAAGTATCGAGGGAGCGTCCGTTTACTTTCGAGAACCACGGCCGGCCGGAGCGGGCGTGTTATAACTACGCTGTCACATAAATAAACCCGTCCGGCTTCGTATTTTGCGCGGCTACCTTCCGCCACTCTCAATGCTTTAATTTTGTCTGGCGGAGTTTCGAGTAAGCCGAGGGCGAGCGGGAGCTTTCTCTGGTTCCGCGAGTTCCACAGACGCGTATCGACTACCGAACGAGGGGCCAAACTTTTCAATCGGAAAGACTCGCGTGTTGTTGTAGTGTTCGTTTTGTCTTCTATTTTTCCTTTTCTCTTTCTTTTTTCTCTCTTTTTCCCCTCCATTGATCAACTAACAATACACGTTACGCCCGTACCGTTTTCCTCTTTCACGTGTATATACCAGCGACTCTTATTCCTCATCCAAAGGATATTCCAGAGGATATTCGATAAATGTGCTGATGCGGTAGCGCGCAAACATAGAGAAGGTCATCCATTAAATCTGGAGTTCTTTTAAAAGGTACACTAAAGATTCATACTTAAATTAATATCAAATTTGGTTACAAATGATGTTGCTAGAGATGGAAGGAATGTAGAGCTTTAATTTTTTTATTTAATAAAATTTATAAAATTAAAACAACATAATCGCTTAAAAGAGCATCATCCATTTTTTTATAAATATTCATTGCACCTTGTTAAAAATGAAAGTAAAATAATAAAAAAATATAAATTAAAACCTTGTATCGCGGGCATCTATATTAAGTTTCTTTCACACAAAGAAAATACATACCTTTCAAACTCTATTCAACAATGGCTATAAAAGTAATTAATGGTCACAAAACCGGACACTAAACTTGTTCAATTGGCTGATATATATCGACTGTTTTATAGTGTATTGATTTCGCATAACAAGTATTCATTTGATGCACAAAAAGTTTTAAAATATAAGTATTAATTAGAGAGAAAAGGAGGGAGAGAGATATATATATAGAGAAATTACATATTTTAAAATACAATTTTATTTATAAAAATTATTTTAAATTATCTTCAAAGAGATCTTACAGCTCTCTTAAAGCTATTAATTATTACAAACTATTCATGAGCTATGAAGCTGCTTATATAAACTTTATTCGTTTAGTAAGCGGAAGCTTGATAATATTCAGTGAACAGAAACATTATTATTGGATGCGCTAACTTTATTTGTATAAAATTGTCACTGCACTCCTGTGGACCACTTCATAATTCTTGAATTTTATCGAACAAGAGTGTACTACATTTCCGACAGCGTTTAATAAAGTGGAGAATATATAAAGCCGCGCGCTCTTTCCCATGTGCAGGACAATCAACGAATTCGGCGCATCCAGGCCATTCCGATTGTTTGTGTTTTTTTGCCCAACAAATTTTTCCGCCGCGCCACCAAAAGCAGAGAAAAACAAGTTTTTTTTCACGTGAAGTCGGATATGTCAGTGCGACAGATGTTACGTCTTCGCAAAAAGTAACAACTTACATGTGGCACACCTTGCCTTAGTCCGTTGTTGCTTCGTTCGTCGTCTTCTTCATATGCGTCTCCCAATCGGAATATGTAATATATATTATACACATACACACGTATATATACATACATATATACGTATGTTTGTTTTAAGAAATATGCAGAATTATTTCATAAGCAGTTAAAAATGCGAAAAAATTTTGTTGGTACAAAAATTGTTTTGTTTAGAATATAACCTTATATAGTGGGATTATTTTTTTTGTAGATGAAAGTGTAGAAAAAATTTCAAAGTCAATTTTTTTTTTTTTTAGATAGTACATTGTATCTTTTTATCATCAATATATAATAGCGGTTTTTAATACAAGTTCAAAAATTTATTAAATAAAAGCTTTCGAGATAATGGAAGGTTGTGAAATAAAAAGTAATAGTGTAAATTAATGACATCCTTTTACGCGTTTACGAATATGTTTAGTTCAAAGTTTAGTAATATTTAGTAAGGTTTTTTTAATGTTCAGTTATTTAATAATTATAATTTAGTAGTTTCTGGGTGTAACTTTTTATATTTGACTTTACTTTACCTTTTGAATTTTGTTTACATTTATTGATATATTTACGTTTGCTTCAATTAATTAAGATCAATGAGTAGAAAAAAAATATAAATGTATCATTGTAAAAACCAACATTGTCAGTTTTGGTCAAATAGAATGTTGTAATATATTACTAATTTTACTGACAATTTTACGACATATATCCATTATCTCATAAAAGTAATAAAACAAAGCTTCCTCTATGAGGAAGCAAAAATTAATTCCACTTTTTCTTTAATAGTAAAGGATATTTTGCACAAACTGAACATTTCACGACGTTGAAGTCACTGTACTTAAATTTCCATAATAATGTTTATATTTATTCTTTAATCATCAATCTTAATTAATTAAACAAGCGAGAAAATAAGCGTAAATATACCAATAAATGTAGATAAAGCTCAGAAGCTAAAATAAAATTAAGCATGAAAAGCCAAATATCACAAATTAATAATTTATAGTTATTTCAAATTAAACATATTGGTAAATGTAAAAGAATTTTATTAGTTTACAATCTTTGATAATCTTGAATCATTTTAAATTAATAAGTTATTGATCTTATCTTAATAATCACTATCCATATAATGTGTGATAGCGGTTGTTGAGATAAGATCAATAACTTATTAATTTAAAATGATTCAAGATTATGAAAGATTGTAAACTAATAAGATTCTTTTAAAATAGAAGAGCATGGCAATTAAAAAAATAAAGTTATTTTCTCCCTTATATTTCCATCTGCAAAAAAAATGATCACAACCGCATAATGTCAGTTCTATCTCTCTCATTCGTACTAAACCTTTATAAAAAAAACAACTCTTTTTTAAATTTATATATATGTACATAGATATATGGCAGTAAACATTTGTGCGATAACGCAGCATGCGAGCGCGTGCAATGATGCGTCAGCACGTACCTAAAGTACTACACGTAAAGTGTTTGCCGACATTTCCCACCGAAAGTGCGATAGCGTCCCTTGATGAGCTCGTCACGCGGCTTTGGCAGCTCTACCGAAGTGCAGCTGACAGGCTCTGCAGCTGCGACAACAACGTACGCAATTCGCATCCAAAGCCTGAGGCTTTAGAGTCTTTTATATAATT